GTCCAAGGTCACATAGCTACTAAATGGCAGGCCTGAAACTAGATCTTCATCTAGTGTTTTTCCCACCGTTCTCTTTAGGAGTAAATTAAAAAACTACTTTTTCCTTTTTGAAAGGAAAAATGTCATGGTAGCCTTTTGCACTCCTCACATTTGTGATTCTGTTACCTCTGTTCATTCATGCTTCTGTTAAGTGTGGAAAGACAGCACACCAATATCTCATTGCATATTACGTCCCAGGCACAATGCTGGACACTGGCCATACATTCACCCACCTAACGCCCCACAACAACCGTGTGATGCTGACATTTTGATATCTGTTTTACAAATATGAAATCTGAAGTTCACGGCACTTGTGAATTGTGGATATGACATTGAACCCAGCTCTTTCTGACTCACACTCAGAAACGCTGAAAGCAGAGTGCCAGAAAAACTGCATTAGAACTTTCTCCGGGAAGAAAGCAAAGTAAGCCATCTGGAAGACCTGTGCGAGAGGAAGTAAAACTAGGGACAGTTACACAAAGCTTCCCTGCCAGTGTTGGGGCTTACAGATGCACGCTATGGTGAAATAAAATTGGGTTTAAACCCATTTCTGACCCTTACTAGCTGTGTGACTTTGGCAGTACCTACCCCCTCAAACCTTCAATTTCCTCACCTGGAAGATGGAAGCATGGCAATAATAATGACAATTCTCACAGGGAATGAATGAGACAACTTACTTTGAGATCTCGGGGCGCAGTTCATGGAGTAAAAACAGGGTTCTGCTGATGTTAGTTTTAAATGGTAATGATGATTATGATGATGAGAATAATATTATAAACCTGAAGTTGCATAGCTCTGTAGAGCCAAGGAAGGGTTCTAACATGAAGCCAAAAATTTAAGTGGAGTTGAAAAGAAACATTCTCATTGAAATCTTCTGGAAGACTGAGATAAATTGATGTTAAGAAATTATGAGAAAGATATTAATTTTTTTCTAGCTCATTGGTATATTTTGCTAAAGAGGTTTCTTTCTTTCTTCTTTTTTTTTTTTTTTTTTTTTGTGTGTGTGTGTGAATCATGCTCTTCTAGTCCACATGGCTTGAGCATAGTATGTATGGTTTTCTACTTGTCACATCTTTTAACAGAGAGAAACTTGAAAGGAGGCAGAAGTCCCTTAAGAAAGTTAGGGGACTTCTCTTTGATTTATAGAGACCAATAGAAGTATGTAGTAGAAGTATGCTTAGATGGGGAAGTTCAAGTGTTCTTTAGTCTTGGGGCAGGGTGATGGGACACAATTGCTGGGGTGCGAATGTGGTTTTTTAGGGCCACTGTATTCTTACATACGTAGCTGTAATGGCCCTATCGCAGAAATGGTTTGAATTATGTTTAACAACCATCTGTCTTGCTGTTATATATTACTTTAAATACGTGATGAATTTGACTAAGATGGGATAACAAGATTGTTGTTTTTACTTCTTGTTTTCTTTCTTGCCGTCTCCCTAGGGGTGGTTTTCTTGAGGCCTCAATGATTGTGGGGCTTGCCATGATACCTCTTATAGCTTCCTGTTCTTTGAAGTCAGCAAGTTTGCCGGATTATCTCGGATTTCCTCCCTCTTTCTAGCTCTGTAATTCCATGATTTTTATGTAAAATATTGTGGACCACGCAGTTTTAAGGTATTTGCTATCGAGGCCCTGTGCCTTACTCAAAATTAACACTTATATTGATTCTTGAGTTAACATGTGCCTCTTATTTGGAGGACTACCTTCAACAAGAAGCTTTTGTGCAGTTTTCTATCTTGCCAGAAATGCTTTTTGTTTGTTGGGAAGGTGATGCACCGTCCCTTTGCACAAGGCCGAGTGCAGCTTTCAGTAAGTAGTCCTTGTGCGTTCTGTGCTCTCATGATGGGTTCACTTCAGGCTAATGAGAGATTGCTTGGTGTTACTCAGGTTTAAACTTGCGCTATTATTAGAATCCAGTCTGTTTTCTGGAGAGTGAATGACCACCAGACAGGACATTATTATTCTTAAAAGTGATTTTCAGCACCGTGAAAAGGATAAACCATGTCAGCAGCTTTTTGTGTGTGTAACATGATCACCTTCTCTCCTAATAACTTTTCCATGAATGCCCACTTCCTTCCATTGCTATTTATATTTGTTCATGTATTGATTTTCTTAGAGCTTTTCATTTGGTAGCATTCATTCGTATCAGACACCATGATCTCATAAGAAAAGCAAACATACCCAAGGGTGACCTGGGACTGCGCTAGCTTCCTAAACTCAGGAAAGCTTTTTGCTTCCCTGCAATCACTGTGTTGTGAGCATCTGTTAATATTTTCTTTAGGTTGCTTTCTCTTACATGGACATACTCATAAAGGAGAGGCGTTTGGAATCTGTGGCTATCACAGATGAATGCAAAGCATGCTGTTAACAGGCAATGCCGTATAACTTCTAAATAACAATGATAATAACCACTGGTACGGGACTGTAGCTTGTCATTTTTATGACTAAGCATCCAGACACATAAAAGTGCTTTTATTTGGTTATGACTTGCAGGTTAGTTCTTCAAGTGCTGGTGAAGAGAATACTAATGCACGCTGAGTACTTTTCATGTGACAACAGCTAGCGTCTTACTGACCAGCTTCATAGTGGATCGCTTCGTTTGCTCAGACCTCAATCTCATCATCTGAACAATGTGAAAGTTGGTTTAGAACAGGGTATCTCATCCTCAGCGCTATGGACATTTGGGCCAGATAATTCCTTATTACAGGAGGTGGTGGGGGCCTTTCTGTGCATTGCAGTGATGCAGGCAAAACCCCAAAATTGGGTCTCAGTTTGGGAGGGTTCTTGTCTTTGCACAGGAAAGAATTCAAGAGCAAGCTGGCAGTGAAAGAAAGCAAGTTTATTAGAGCAGCAATGTGCAGCTAAATGGCGCCTCCATAGACAGAGCGTAGGCGGAGTGGCCCAGAGAAGCACTTGTGGACTGCTGGCTGGCTATATTTACATCCAGTATTAATTATATACTACATAAGAGGCAAGTTATTCACAAGCTTTCTGGAAAAGGGGCAGAGAGTTCCCAGAACCATATAAGGGAACTTTCAGGCCATTGCCATGGCATCATTTACAAACTGCCAGGGCGCCGGTGGGAGTGTCTTATGTAAATGTATCATAATTAGCATATAATGAGCTGTGAAGGCAAGTAGAGGTCGCTTTGGTTGCCAATTCTTGGACCTTCTGGTTTTGGCCAGTTTCTTTACTACATCCTGTTTTGATCAGCAGGGTTGTGACCAGGGCTCAGAAAGCGGGTGCCACTGATCTCCTACCTCAGTAGGAACTAGTGGCCCATTAGATGCCAGTAGCACCCCCTCAGTTGTGAGAACCAAAATTGTCTCCTGACATTGCTAAAGGTCTCCTAGGGGGCAAAATTGACCCAGTGGAGACTCACTAGTCTAGAATAATATATTTTTAGGCATATACAAACTTTAAGATGGTATGACACTAGGAGTTTGTGGATGTAATGATTATAAGAGTCTTGCAATAATTTTTATTCTGTGGAGTGACCTGAATGAAAAACAGAATTCATTTGCCTTTTGCCTTGTTAGAAGGCTTTCTTGATAAGACTATAATATTGTTTTGGATTTGTTTTCCCCATTAAAATTTAAGGACTCAATTATCAAAGTATGAAAAAGGCCACAGGAGAAAAACTTTGAGAAAACAACACTCACCGATTAACATGCATGGGTGGGATGAGCTATACTACTGTACACGTGGTACTAGCATAGTCATTAAAGATAAATCTTGGTGGCGGGGGAGGGAGTTGAGGGATGAGAAATTACCTATTGCGCATAATGTACATTAGTCAGGTGATGGGTTCACTAAAAGCCCAGACTTTACTACACAATATATCCACACGACAAAACTGTACTTTTACCCCCTCTAAATCTATTTTAAAAAATATAAGACCTGGTACATAGCAGACATTCCAAAATATTTGTTGAATGGATGGATAAATTGCTAAAGGTCTTTGATAAATGGATGGTTGGATGAAGGATCTGCTATTGCTAACTCATATAGTTTTGGGAACAATATTTCATCTGTGAAACACAAAAATGGTAGTCACAAAAGCAAAGAGGTCATGGGGTATGAGCAGACGGAGCCCTTTCCTTCTGCTGTGGGTCCCCCAGGTGCTCCTCTGCTCTACCACCGCCCTTTGTTTCCACGTCTTTCCCCGGCCCTATATCCTTACCTGCCTTTCTTTCCCTCTTTATTTGTTTCCTGAATTTATTTTCTTCGAGCTTTCCATATGGTATCATTTCTTTGTATCAGACACCACGATCTCAAGAGAAGAAACCCACCATATGTGATTGTGGATCCACACCTGGGCATTCCTAAGTGAAGAACTGCTTAATCTTTATTCTCTGGTTGTTTAAGTCAAACTAGCAATGTGATTCCTAATCATCTTTGAAAATACTTCCTTTTGATTTTTGAGAGTCCCATGTCCCATGTCTTTCTTTGATAATTTATTATAGAATAAAAGTTTTTGGTCAAAGGAACGTATATTAGTAACCGTGACAGATGGCTTTTAACTGTAATCATATGTTCACAATGATGTTATTGATTCAATACTAAAAAGTATTTCCTCCGTTTTATAAGGAAATTGAGGTACAGGTTTGTTAAGATGTAGAGTCAGGTGCCTGCAGTAAGTGACTAGTTATATTAGGGTTAGATTTGCAGAGCCCACATGTTGAGAGCAGGTTCATAGCACCAAGAGGGAGGGTAAAATTGAGGTGAGGCAGTCATTTGGTAAAAAGCATTGAATCTGTAGTACCAGACAGTTAAACATTTTTCTTTCTGTTTTGTTTTAAAGTCACAAAAATAATTGTGGAGGGTGGCTGCTTCAGATATCATGGCTTTGATTTGATAGGAAGAATATTTTCTCTAAATGTACAAATTATTAATTTCAAGACCTTTCCTGTGAGTTTTATTTTGGTAAGTGTTGCTCATGATCTGTTTCTCTTCTCTCTTAGACCTTCTCTCACCATGCCCCATAGGAATCTGACAGGAAGCTGCAACGTTAATTGTGGTTGTAAAATACACGAGTATGAGCCAGTCTGCGGATCAGATGGAATTACATACTTTAACCCGTGTCTGGCTGGCTGTGTTAATAGTGGTAATCTTAGCATTGGGGTGAGTATATTTCACAAGTTCCTCTTCTGTTAGTCCAACATCCTGTGAGAAGGATGTGATGAAATTCATATGCAGCCACAATGACTTCAGTCTTTCTTTTCAAGAGCTTCCAAGTAGCCTACAAAATGCCTCTGATGCAAACCTAAGAGGAAAGAAAATTATGCATTGCTATTATTTTTTTTTTCCCAGGGATGACTGGAACATTTGGATGCAGGGATTTGGTTTCATATCAGCTTTCTCCTACTTTACATTCTGTGCCAACTCAGTGAAACTTGACAAGGTTGAGCTCCAGGCCTCCCATTTGTTTCTCTGACAGTGCCCTTGTGATGGATTTGAAGGTCAAGATGACCACATTTGGTGCTGATAGAAGAGAATAGGAAAGCACCTCCCCTGACTGCAGTCTGTGAAGATGGGCGATGGCCATTTTTCATAGACTATCAGTTTAGTTCAGGCTTAAAAAAAAAACCTTTGAAAGCAAAGATATTTCTGACAGTTCAAGAATAGGCTATTTTGAGAATTCCCTTTCCTGTAAATTATAAATGGGCTATAATGCTGTGGGAGAAGGTTTTCATATTCTACTCAGTTTCTTATTAAGCCTGGTTTGATTCTTTGCGGAAGAACAGATGGTAGGAATTTGCTTTCATTAAAAGGTTCAAATGCACGTGCTTGTTCTGTTCAGGTGATAAGGGACTATACCATCCACTGAATGTCTTGGATATTGTTTTTGAGTCTCAGTTTTAAACTACAATGATAAATTGAGAATTCCTGTTGTTTGTTCCCCATTATATAATTGGTGAGCTCCACTGTGTCGCCATGTTGAAAGAGACAGTGAGATCTGTTCTTTTGGTGGCTAAATCCTTCCTTGTGAGTCAGTGCTCATCCTTTAAAAACTGCCAAGCGGTCTTTTGAGCATGACAGCCAAACAGTGCCCCATCTTTATACTTTTTCTTGCTGCTGCTTCAAGTATTCAAAGGTTGCAATGGGAGCCAGTTCAGCTGATGTCCATTCAGTGAAGAGAAACATAGTAGTAGGAGGAAGGTTATCGGCTTATTTAACATTTGTTGGTTTTGTTTGTTTATTTATTTGGTATCCTGTGACACCCTTCAGTGTTTTATTTGTCTCTTTTTATTTGCCTTAAGTAGAAATTTCGGTAGTTAACACAGAAGACTTGGACTCTTGCTCTTCTGTATCCTCAGTCCCCTAGAATGACACCTGGCATGTTAGTGTAGGGGCTCATGAATATTTGTTGGAAAAAGTGAACAAGTGAATTTGAGCTCATCGTCTGACTCTGTCAGAGTCCAGGAGCAGTACTGGGAGGAGGCTAGAGTAGGTAGACCCAAGTTACATCCTCAGAGTTGGCTGCGCGTCTAGAGGGTGTAGGGCACCAGCTAACTAAAGGGACTAAGAGGATGTTTAAAATGGATGCACCCAAACGTACATTAACTTAGCCACTGTGGAAAGCAGTTTGGAGATTACTCAAAGAGCTTAAAACAGAACACTACTCAACCCAGCAATCTCATTACTGGGCATATATCCAAAAGAAAACAAATCGTTCTCTCAAAAAGACACATGCACTTGTATGTTCATTGCAGCACTGTTCACAATAGTAAAGACATAGAATGGAGCTAGGTGCTCATCAGTGGTGAATCTGATAAAGAAAATGTGATAATATACACCATGGAGTACTACACAATCATAAAAAAGAATAAAATCATGACCTTTGCAGCAACATTGGTACAGCTGGAGGTCATTATCCTAAGCAAATTAATGCAGGAACAGAAAACCAAATGTCACATGTTCTCACTTGTAAGTGGGAGCTAAGCATTGGGTACTCATGGACACAAAGATGGAAACAATAGACATTGGAGACTATTACAGTGGGGAGGTGGGGAGGGAGGTGTGAAAAACTACCTGTTGGGAACTGTGCTCACTCCTTGGGTGATGGGATCATCTGTACAACAAACCACAGCATCACACAATAGACCCATGTACCAAACCTGCACATGTACTCCCATATCTAAAATAAAAGTTGAAAAAGAAAAGAAAATGGAACACCAATGCGATGTTCACTAGTATTGGTGCTGAAGTCATCATGGTTGCATTATGAACTATCTGCATTTACTAGATTGTTTACTTTAGGGCCGACTGTGTGACCAGAGTTGTGCTAGGTTCGTGCTCTGTGAACACAAAGAAAAATAAAGTTGGTTCTGTTTTTTGAGGGGCTTCTCTAATTGGAGAGCCCAAGAGTGAACAGCAATTGAGGCAGAATATAATGATGACAAAAGCAAGCGTGCGGAATGTGAATGGTTTTGAATGTTGAAAGCTTCTCAGAAAAGTTTAGGTTTAAATAATTTTGACCAGCAGACTTTGGTTTTGTTAGACACACACTTGAGATCCTTACTGTTATCAATGAGGAAGCTATTTTCAATGAAGTATTTTGTGTTTTAAAAATTATTCGAGCTATTTAGAGTATTTTTACTTAACTTCCTCTTTACATTCCTATGCCACAGTTAGCTTTCGAGGGGCACACCACTGATCTTTATTTTGCTCACTTAGATACGGAATTATACAGAATGCACCTGTGTCCAAAGTCGGCAAGTGATCACTCCGCCCACTGTGGGACAGCGCAGTCAGCTCCGTGTGGTTATTGTCAAGACGTATCTCAATGAGAACGGTTATGCTGTGTCTGGGAAGTGTAAACGGACCTGCAATACGCTTATCCCGTTCTTAGTTTTCCTTTTCATAGTCACCTTCATCACAGCATGTGCGCAACCATCAGCCATCATAGTAACACTCAGGTGAGAACAGCATTCATCTTCTAGGGTGGGCTCTGTACTTAGAATTTCCAGAGCACATACTCCAGGACAAGGGGGTGATGTGGTAAATCAGAGAGCAAAGCAAAATTAGCTTGTGCAGGAGGGCACTCATAGTTGCCTGGTGAACTTAAGAGGGATTTTTCCCTATCAGGAAGGGAAAGGAAAGTTGTGATGTTTCATATTTTGGAACTTTCTTTATTCAGTTGGGCTATTCTTACTGTGTAATGAAACTTCTTTGGGGTGTTTTTGATTCCTGAAGTCTCTGCCCTATGAGATTCAGCTTCAGGAGTTGAAAGTCATCACTCTGTGAGAAGCTGGACCCCAGAGGAGGGCAGGAAGTAATTTGGGAAAGTTGCTAAGTCGTGCATACAGCAAAGGCTATTATCTTCAACCTTGGAGATAGTTAATACCTTCGGGATCAGTGGTGATTTATGCTGGGCCTGCAATTTGAAATGCTGAGTTCATTAATTTTACTATCATATAAAATTTCAGAGTTCAGAAAAGGGTATATTGGGGAATGTAATTTCTCTCTCTCTCTCTTTTTTTTTTTTTTTTAGTTTTTCAGGCTGTGCTTTCTTTGCAGTATCTTGTTTGGATTTTTTGTTTATAAGAGGACATGGAAGCTACTTTTGTCCTATTAAAAATGATGGCACTGATGTTCCTGGACCAAACTGAGGGTTGGACTGCTATTTTCTGCATTGCAATAATGAGATGCAGATGAACAGGGGAGGAGGAGAGTTTTTATTTCTGCAACTGGTCACAGGGAGAAGGCCTGGAAATTATCCCCAGACCAACTCAAAATTACAAAGTTTTTAGAGCTTATACGTATACCTTCTAAGCTATATGTCTATGTGTAAATGTGCATTCATCTAAAGACATAAGTGATGAACTTCTTTTAATCTATAACTAAGGTCAGAATCCCGAAGACCTTCCTCTGGAGCCTCAGTAAATTTACTTAGTCTAAATGGGTCCGGGTGCTGGGGTGATTACCCTTATCTTGTCTCCTGGTAAATCACGGAGGTTTGGGGAGTTCCTTCATACTCCCAATAAACTTGTCTGTGGAGGCCTGGGGAGTTTTTCCAGATCCCCAATAAAACTTGTTTAATCCTAAATGGGTCCCGTTAAGAATTCCTTCATTATTTTGTCATGCTTTAAGGCCCAGAAAAGGCCTAGAAAAAACTCTTGGTGGGCTTTTTGTTATATTCCAGCCTTTGTATAAGGACACTGGCTTTTCTTTCTTTTTTTTGTTTTTTTGACAGAGACTTGCTCTGTGGCCCAGGCTGGGGTGCAATGGCATGATCTCAGCTCACTGCAACTTCCACACCTCCCAAGTTCAAGCGATTCTCCTGCCTCAGCCTCCCGAGTAGCTGGGATTACAGGCACACGTCACCACACCTGGCTAATTTTTTGTATTTTTAGTATTGTATTGTGTTGTATTTTCACTATGTTGGCTAGAATGGTCTTGATCTCTTGACCTCGTGATCTGCCTGCCTCAGCCTCCCAAAGTGCTGGGATTACAGGCAGGAGCCACTGTGCCCGCCGTAGGCACTGGCTTTTAATATTCAACTTAAACAGTCAGTACTGAAACAGTTGTTATGGAGGCCTGTCACACTGATACATTCACATCAGTGCGTTCATATTTGCAGTAAGGACTGCAGTGGACAAAGGAAGGAACTGGGTGGCGTGGTGAAGCCAGAAGAACACACCCATAGGTCTGGGCAGCTTCAGGGGATTCAGGGGGTACAGTGCAAGGAGGGAGTGAGGAAAGGGAGTCAGTCCTTACTCTTCCTCCAGGCTCCTTGGATGCCACAAGGTTGGGCACCTTGCAGGAGGCGCCTGCTGCGATGTCACTGCTTAGCAAGGGCAGTGGGCTGAGGCAGGCATGTTCTGGCTTCTTTTCTGCTTGGTGCTGAATCAGGCATTTCCCAGCAAAGCTGTTCATTGACAACCAGATAGTAGTGCATGAAAGGCCCACCGGTTTTTTATTCAGTTCTTCCAGCAGCAGATATTTATGGAATAACAACCTGTGTGCAGTGCCGTGCAAATTGCTATGAGAAATAAGGAAATTGGGGAAAAGGTAACAAGGGCACTGGTCTTGGCAAAGTTCCCATTATATACCATAGTCTCATGGGTATGCGATGGAGAGGATAAGGTACTGCAGCATTTAAAAAGATACATGAATCATTCATAAATATACTCAAATAATCTCATTCTTTGCACTTTAATTCTTCAAGAGATGTTAAATAACTCATAGACAGGCTGCTTTTTCTTTCAGTCTTCAAACATGGCAAATCACCAGTTGGCTTCTAACCTAAACTTTCAGAAAAGGAGTGCTTTAATCTTTGCTAATTACAAAACCAGTAGACTTCAATCTTCCTGTCACATGGGAATAACTTGGAGCATAAATTTAAAAAAAAGAAAAAAAGATGCAGTTGGAGGGCTTATGCTTTCTCGGATGTTTGACTTGTTTCCTATATACTTTTGAAGATACTTTTATTCTTTACTCTTTTTACTTCCTGTCCTGGAGGAATTATTGGAGTAATTTTCACTGTACATATCTACTCTTCTGGAAGATGCAGGTACACAGTGAAAAAAAAAAAAAGACCCAGTAGTTAGGATGAAATTCTATAATTAAAAAAATAGATCTGATTTTGGATGCTCAGTTAGGGGCAATTTCAGCTTCTTCAGCCAAGAGCCTTTGACCCCCCTCCACCAGTATTTATGTAAAAACAATTAGAGTTAGTTTCTTTGGTGTCTTCGGTGGGGAGACCTTTATTCAGTGATTTAGCCATCAGCAATCTTGGGTGGCTATTGTTAGTAAATTCTAGTGAATTAAATATTTTGGTATGGCATCTCTTTAGTCCCTGCTCTGCACAAGGGCAGACTTGATTTATCATTCATTTTCTTGGGGCTACTATTTAAAACATTTCTTTCTTTCCCTTCACTGTAGGTCTGTAGAAGACGAGGAGAGACCTTTTGCGCTGGGAATGCAGTTTGTTTTGCTGCGAACACTTGGTACGTCCCTGAATTTCCAAGTGTGCCTCTTAGTTCCTCTTTGCAGATAGCAAATTTTCACTGTCTTTTAAAGATGGCAAGTCACGTCATTTATTACCATTAGTAAGATTTTACAGGTTAGTGATGAGGGTACAACTTCCTTCTTTTCTGATTTGAACTAGAAGCTGACAGGTTCTGTCGTTTGATGAAACAAAGCATAACCAAAGTTAAGTTAGTTTCTTTTTCATTATGAATATAAACTTGGACAAAATTCCCCAGAGTTTTACACAGTAAGAAATACGAAATCAAGCAATGTGTCATGGATTTTTTATTCTGGCATTTTGATCCCTTTACGGGTTAGTATGAAAGCAACAGAAATTGGTGTTTATTTGAGAAGTTTTCAATTCCTTCCTTCTTTATAGTAATTTTATTGGACCAAGCAAAAAGTATACCTATCAAGTTTTCTGAGAAAAATAAAAAACTGTAGAAAGGAAAAGCAAGGTCCCCTAAGTGACATACAGGGACTGCCTTATAAGTCTTTACTTGTCAACAAGAGAAACTCAGTTGTGCTGCGTCCATGTGATAAACCACAGAGTACATGTGTGCAGGAGGAATATGGGTCTTATTTTTACAAACACCACATCACTCTGTGAGTTATTGAGATAATGAATGGGAAATAGTCATGTAAAGTACAAAGTTCCTTTGATCAATTTCAATGTATTTTTAATTGACTTCCTTGTCATCAAGCTTATTTTTCCTTTTACAATTTTTTTAAGTGGCAGTCTGTCATTTTCTTCAGCTGTATTTTCTCCCCAGTAAATAGTATCATTGTCTACAAGACAAAAGAAAATTGTTTTTTGATTCAAATTTCTTATTTCAGTTTTGAAGAGGTAATGTTTAAAAAGGGCATTGTCTGACCCCTTGAAGCACTAATCCCCTGGCATTCTCCATTTGTCATATGTCGTGGTTGACAGCTGAGTCCAAGAATAAGCACTTTTCAACAAGCCCCAGAAGGAAAATGCTTCTAGTTCCATTTAAAGAGTGGCTTGTTTTGTCAGTACTAATAAGACTTCAAGGGTACCATTTTTTAAAAAGCATGCTGTTTAAGGGAAATCCTGACACACTTAGATACAGTTAAAAAGTCTGCCTTGGGCTGGGCATGGTGGCTCATGCCTATAATCCCTGGACTTTGGGAGGCCGAGACGGGTGGATCACCAGAGGTCAGGAGTTCGAGACCAGCCTAGCCAACATGATGAAACCTCATCTCCACTAAAAATACAAAAAAAAAAAAAAAATTAGCTAGGTATGGTGGTGCATGCCTGTAATCCCAGCTACTGAGGAGGCTGAGGCAGGAGAATCACTTGAACCCAAGAGGCGGAGGTTGCAGTGAGCCAAGATCATACCACTGCACTCCAGCCTGGGCAACAAGAGCAACACTGTTTCAAAAAAAAAAAAAAAAAGAAAGTCTGCCTTATAGTTCTTGTTAAAAGTTAAACAGTATTATTTAGAAAGAAGAAGATTTGTTAACCAAAGAGGTGACTCAATAAAAAAAGAAAAAAAAATTTTTGAGATGGAGTCTTGCTCTGTTGCCAAGCCATAATCTCGGTTTACTGCGACCTCTGCCTCTAAGGTTCAAGTGTTTCTCCTGCCTCAGCCTCCTGAGTAGCTGGGATTACAGGTGCTCACCACCATGACTGGCAAATTTTTGTAGATTTTTTTAGTAGAGATGGAGTTTCACCATGTTGGCCAGGCTGGTCTTGAGCTCTTGACCTCAGATGATGCGCCAGCCTCAGCCTCCCAAAGTGCTGGGATTACAGTCATGAGCCACCATGCCCGGCCAGAATAATAATTTCTTCTTTTTGCTGTGCCCCTCTCTGATGCCATGGAGTTGGGGTCATTTGATATGATTTGGAGGTGAGGGTGAGTCGATATATGTTTGCCACAGCATCAAGAATAAGTGGAGGGAGGGCATTTATTATTTAATTCAACTTTATTTTAACTTCTATGGATTGTCTAGTTGGGGCAACAAGCCAATTTTCATTTCCCCCCAAATTTCAAAGCCGAAAAAGAGTTAAAAAAACTTTAGTAATGTTAAAATTAAACCAATAGACCTTATTTTAAATAAAAACAACTTATTAAAAATGTATCAATCACAGTTTCCTGGGTTATCAGCTCACCTATCCTCTCTGCCTTCCTTTCTTCCTGGCTCTCTTCCTCTTTCTCACTTTTTGTTACTTCCTTCCTCCTCCCTTCTCGCATTATCTTCTGTACATTTTTATTGAGGTCCTTGGGATGCGAAGAATAAAAGGCACGGCCCCTCCTTGAAGAAGCTTACGGAGTGATAGATTTGCAAACATTTAAAATACTATGTGATAGTTAATAAAACAGAGGTAGATAAATGCAGTGACCATATGATGGCACCTGAATGAGTCAGGAATTTAAAGGAGGTGTAGATGTTTGCAAGGTGAATGAGTTTGGGAACATTTTGGCAAAGGGAATAGCATGTGATAAAGGAGTCGATGTACTAGGTAGACTTTTTTTCTTATGGGTAAGGAAATGTCTATATCATAGCCCAAAGGATGAAGCCACTATTCATCTTAGATGCTTTATAAGCTTCAAAGATGAAATTTATGCCGTAATAAAGTTTCTTTACAGCTTCTTAGATTTATAAGTGCTGCTATAAAGTTGCCGTTTCATGTGGTGTCTGACTTACAGGAGAAGCGCTTTTCTCATACCCTTCCTGCATCTGAGGACTAGAACCCAACCCACTAGAACTAAGTGTATTGAATTTTGGTGGGTAATAAAGGATTCTAGTGTAGCTTCTTGGATATTTAATGACAAGATCCAATTTTTAACTTTAAAAGGATTCACTAGTTGTATTTTTAGCCATACCCCTTTTTTAGCTTTACTGTGGTATACATGACAAATAAAATTGCATCTATTTAAAGTAAACACCATGGCGATTTGATCCTAAAAATCAACAGCACATTCAGGGTTGCACAGTAGAGTTTGAGTGTTTATCATGTAGTGAATGCTTTTGTGATAAATCTATTGTGATAAAATGTGATGTGTCTTAAAAAGAATCAGGTAACACAAGAAAATCCCCCCCCTCAACTGGTTTGAGAGGACACAAGCTGCTTGCCAGTTTACGACTGTGTTCTCCCTCGTCAGAGGCGCTGAGTCTTGCGTCTTCTTCTTCCCCACCCCGCAGCGTACATTCCGACTCCCATCTACTTCGGAGCCGTCATTGACACCACCTGCATGCTGTGGCAGCAGGAGTGCGGCGTGCAGGGCTCCTGCTGGGAGTACAACGTGACGTCGTTTCGTTTTGTCTATTTCGGTTTGGCGGCCGGCCTCAAGTTCGTGGGCTTTATTTTTATTTTTCTGGCCTGGTACTCCATAAAATACAAGGAGGATGGCCTGCAGAGGCGGAGGTGGAGAGAATTCCCCCTGAGCACTGTCAGTGAGAGAGTGGGCCACCCCGACAGCGCCCGGACGAGATCTTGCCCAGCTTTCGGCACCCAGGGAGAATTCCACGAAGAGACTGGTCTGCAGAAGGGGATCCAGAGCGCGGCGCGGACCTACCCGGGGCCCTTCCCGGAAGCAATAAGCTCCTCCGCAGACCCGGGGCTGCAAGACAGCCCCGCGGCCCTGGAGCCGCCCTCCTGAAGCCTGAGGATGGAAGTGATTCGTTTTGTTGGTTGAGTTGGAAATGGCGACTTGAGAAACAACCGTGCCTTCTTTTCTTTCTTTCTTTTTGTAACCTCTACAGACACAAGCCTCAAACCAACAAAGCTCAGTATACACAGCCGCTATTCATGGAGGGCTGGATACCTCAACGAGACTGAGAGCCTTTCCCCGCTTCTCTCCAAGGAGACGTTCAGCTACCTTTGTTCCCATTTCCGTGGTGTCAGTTTCAAGCCCGAGCTCCCCTACTGTATAGGCTGAGGTACACGGTTAGCAAAATCATGGGTAGGGGAATGGCGGTGCATATCATTACCTAACACTCCAATCAAAGGGGAGCGTGCCTAGGACTCTGCGTTTCCAAATCAAAGTTTTTAGAGATGAACACCTACTGTGAGTTCTGCTGCAAAGCACAAATGAATTTGTCTCAACTATGCAATTTGATGGGGAAAATGTATGTGCAGCATGTTGCGTTTACTTTCACAGAATAAAGCAGATCTGTCTTTGAAAAGAGGAAGCTGAACTTTCCATGCAGTACTGTTAATAGCATTTTAAGCCATAGCAGACTTATAAATCAGGTAGAATTTTTCAAATGCTTCAAAGGAACCATAGGCATAGTGTGGAAGAAGGAACAGCTATTTTATGTCATAGAACACATTCTCTTCTAGTCTGCCTGCCCCATCATAAGATAAAGAGGCTGCTGAATCATAAATCTGATGGCTTGAATATAAACTCCAGTATTCTTTCATAAGGGGCTTTAAAACTAGTGTGCTAAACAATATGGCTAGAAACTGTAATTTGAAATGCATAATAAGGAAAGTAAATGAAGGCTTTCTTATCCAAGGAAATTGTTGCAGAAATTTTTTTTAGCTCTTATGGGCCCACAAAGTCACTGAGAAAAGTCCCACTTGAGTATTTTTGTTATATTTTGAAAGCACTGGTAAATCTGTATGGTTCTTTTTCTGGAGAGAAAATTGCTGTGGTTGCTCCTGAAAATGAGCATTTATATCAGGAAATCTGTGCCTGGGATATGAAAACCACTTGGAGGCTGGGCGCGGTGGCTCACACCTGTAATCCCAGCACTTTGGGAGGCCAAGGCAGTTGAATCACCTGAGGTCAGAAGTTTGAGAACCAGCCTGGCCAACGTGGTGAAACCTCATCTCTAGTAAAAATACAAAAAATAGCCAGGTGTGGTGGCGTGCGCCTGTAGTTCCAGCTATTCGGGAGGCTGAGGCTGGAGAATTGCTTGAACCTGGGAGGTGGAGGTTGCTGTGAGCTGAGATGGCGCCACTGCATTCCAGCCTGGTGACAGAGCGAGATTATGTCTCAAAAAAAAAAAAAAAAAAAAAAAAAAAAGACAGAAAGAAAGAAAAGAAAAAAAAATCAATTTCAATATAGGATGAGGGAGATCTGTGCTCTGGACCAAAATATGATCTTAAGTAATTGTTGAAAATTATGTAAAATAAACCAGTCCATCCTATTGGACTCTATCATAGTTAGAATCGTTTTACACTCCCCTTTGATTCCTTCCTACTGTAGGTTTCCGGCAGTGATTCCGAGAGAGTTTTCTGTTCCTAAATGCACTTTGGGTTCATTATCTATCATTCTTTTCAGTACCTCCCAGCACATCGCTTTGACTTAAACACCATACAGAATGCTTTCTACATGGCTCTTAAGATAGATGCTTCCTGACGCCACTAACGGATTGATAGTAAGTTAGCTCATGGGTTCTGGCTGCAAGGGAGCGTAAGGGCCAAATCCTGATATAATTGTGAATTATTTTCTCCAAGGAGCCTATGCTCGTGGAAGCCTAATTACGGAATTAGCCTGTTTTCCTCTTCCGGTTTACCCTTATCCCCAGAAGAGATGTGATTGACAGGCTGTTCCATGATTGAGGCTTCTGCTGTCCATCCTTGCTTGACTGCACAGGTGGAATTGTGCAAATACTCCTGGATATAAGGCTGTTTTCCTCTCTTCCTAGGAAGGACATTGGTCAAACATTTCTCTTGGTTGCATGCAATTTGTGTTAATACTGTTAGGCTGAACAGTGTCTACAATGGGTGGAGCTAGTGGTCTCAGGGGCTAAGGGCTTCCTTCTGGCTCTTGGGCTTGGCTCTCTGGGAGGTGAGGAGTCTTGCTTGGCTAACACTGTAATTGCAATGGTAACTGTCAAACTCTGGCCAATGTGGCATATATTGGAAGTATTTAAAAAATCTTGCTGATTCAGAAAACCTTGCTGATTGACCTAGTTTCTTCTCTGGGGCCTCAGGGTTCCTCTTTATGCTCTATAGGAGAGCCTTGGTCCTTTAGAGGAGACAGTTTCCTTTGGTGTGGGAGTTAAAGCCAGTTCGGCGATCACTGACCAGGTGCCAGGTATCTTCAGGTGTCATTTTACTTGATTACCATCTGACACTGCATGAAATCCTTTGGGATGATTAGGCCAGAACTCAAAGAAATGGGTCTGAAATGTTCACCACAGTGTGAATATTGTCCTTCCTCAAGTATCTGCTCCTTATAAATAGCAGGCATTTCATTCATGTGTTGTTGGCAAATGTAGACTAAGTAGTAAAAATCATGAGAAAATAAAGTTTTGGAATATGTACCAATTAAGAGTTGTGCTCAAAACACTTGGGGCTATGGTAGCATCTTTGGAATATGACATAGTCAACTGAAGTGACTATTTTGTAGATGATACCATTTAATTGTATATATAGGGTCTTATATGCTTGTTGATAAATTGATTATGTGACTTTATAGTCACAGCTCCTTTTAGAAGTTTTCATGAAGACTCTCCATGAGCTTAGGTTCAAATTACTTGTTTTGGAAAAGGTCATCTTGTTCCTTTATAAACTGTTAATTCATATATTATTTAGCTTTAATATGCAAATACAATATCCATGAGTTCAGCCTATTAATTTAGAAACTACCAGGAGGTTAGATGGGTGGTTGGGGCATATTCTTTGGTTATTTTCATTAGCATGACATCCTTATGCTTTATAGGTGGATTTAATTCTTGAAAATATTCAAAAGTCATTCAGAATCAAGGTGTTGGGGATGGAGAGAAAGGAGAAACAGACCGGAAACAATTTAGCATTTGCTGAGTGTTGACGATTTGTAGAGCATTTTGTCAAGCACTTAATATACATCATCCATTTTAATTCTCTTAATTACCTTGCAAAGATTTGCTTTTTATTTTTTGAGACAGAGTCTTGCTCTGTCACCCAGGTTGGAGTGCAGTGGTGCAATCTCAGCTCACTGCAACCTCCACCTCCCGGGCTCAAGCGATTCTCCTGCCTCAGCCTCCTGTGTAACTGGGATTACAGGTGTGTGCCACTGCACCTGGCTAATTTTCTTCTGTTTTTGTTAGAGAAGGGGTTCACTGTGTTGGCCAGGCTAGTCTTGAACTCCTGACTTCAAGTGATCCACCATCTCAGCCTCCTAAAGTGCTGGGATTATAGGCGTAAGTCACCACACCTGGCCGATTTTACTTTTTTTTTTTTTATAAAACAGATATGAAACAAGTCTCAGAGAGGTAAAAGAACTCATTTAAGATTATACAGAATGGCAAAGTCAGGATTCAGACAGATAAATCTCACTCCATTATTCATTTGTTACACTACAGAATGCATACAGTAGCTTTTGGTTAACAAAGGCAAGGCGTGACTATAAAATGGTAAGGTTAAAGCATTTCATTTTTTTGGGTGCATTACTGTTTCTGAAGAGTAGAGAGGTTTTTCGTGTAAATTAAAAAAAAAAAAAACAAAAAACTCTAGGAAACATCTGTAGGAAATACCAAAATTTAATGTTTAACTAGATTTTCAAGGTAAATTTACATGTATCTAGCTAAGTGTTATATTAAAGTTGTTTGTCATAACATACCTCAAATATTGATTTATAGTTCATATTTAATACAGAACAAATCCAGTCTTCCTGTTAACATCAGGTCTTGGCAGAGTTCCTGAAATGAAACATTATGAAGAACGGTAGTTCAGATTTGTTGAATCTGAGCTTTGGGGATTTCAGGTGTATGATGTTTTTTTTCTTTCTTTCAGAATATTAACATTTCTATTAGTTTTTTGATGAAAATGAGTTTTAAGATTCATAATGAGGGTTTTAAATGAACGCATACAAAATACATATCAAACCACTGATCCCGATTGTTCCCTTCAGTCGCTGTGACATTGTTACCTTTAGTGGCATGCACTTGGAAATGTCAGCCTTCAGAGAAGGGGGAGTTAGTTACCTTGAGTAAGACCTCATGATGTCATGGCAGTCCTCCATGTTCACCAACCACCAGGAAAATTGTTCTTCAGTCCACGATTCCAGCTCGCGTTCTTTGGTGGACGTGGAGCCAGAACGTTTCTTTTTGGCCCTGTTTTGTAGAAATTGTGCATGAACCAAGGAGAAGCTTTAGAGTTTGGATAGAGCTGAAGGGAATTCCCTAGTACACCCAGGAGCAGGAGGCAAGCCCAAACCTCGGGTGGTAGCCAATTTTATTTTGTGATCGTGTATGTTCTTAAAACACAGAGATGGCACAGCACATGAATATAACTATCGATATATAGGGGCATAGTGAGCATTCTAAGTAGCAGATAGATACCAAAATGCTGTCTAATCCCAGAATTGCCTAAACGGCAGGGTTTCTCGTTCTCTGTGACACAGGCCAGTGGGTAGCCTTTCCACACATCCGTGTTTCCTCCTCCCAGTAAGAGAGTGCCGTGGCTGGCAGACAAAGTTACTTGCCTCCTGCACTTTATCTTTTTGTCTTTTTCTCTTCTTCACCTTTTCGGATGCTGCTGACTGTATCTGTCCCAAACTTCTTTTTGCATTAGAATCAAATCTGTGTATGTTTGAGGAGATTTGATTTTAAAGACTTCATTTTTACTCAGCCCTAGGAAGGGTCAAATATGACAAAAGTTAAAAAAAAAAACCAACAAGAAAAGCCCTCCTTAGGCGTTTGCTTTGGCAACATTAAAAAAAATGCCTTGGTGCTAAAAAGTATTTAATGATGCATGTTCACCACTAAAATACTGAATTCACAGTATTTCACTGCTAAGAGGCTGCATGTACTTTGTGTTTGGAAATCTGAAGAATTTTCCGGAAAACAAGCACCCATTACTCTCATTTCAACAGTTAATCCATGAACTCTATGCTGCAAAAATGAAGCATGTAAGGGAGAATACTTTTCTATGGAAAACTCAGTGCTTTTGATATTTATTTTAGCAAGAATAATCAGATGCTAAAAATAATTTCAGAGAGAGGTAGAAAAAATATTTCAGATAATCTTTCCTTATTTCTCCTCCAAAAAGCTGACACCCATGTAAGGTATTTTTTAACACTGGGGTTTTGAAGGTGTTGTCTTTTCTGGTATCCTGTCATTACATGCTAAAATTGAAGGAGAAAAGATTATTGAAAATGAAAGGAATTGTAGGGACACATTAAACCAAAGGGGTGAACAAAAGAGGTTTAAAGTTTGTATCTAGAAATAAAAAATAAGAATAATTAGTAAGACTAGTA